AAACCCTGAAATCCGCAAAGCCTGGCGAACTCATGCGTCATGCACGAAGAACTGCAAATACCAGTAAATTCTCTGCTTCAAGGCAAAAATATGCTAAAACTCCGCGCCACAAATTGGCGCGGATTTTTAGCACATTTCTGGGATTCCGAGATCTTGCGCAGTTATGTAGCATGCTTCTCTGTCAGTTGTCATATCAAGGCTCCTTTGCGTCCTGATTACTCTTGACAGGGTCAGAAGTGTTGTAAATACCAGTGAAAAAGGCCTTTCGACGTCGTCTAGCTTGACATCCATGTTGCTGAAGTTTGCTTCTTCTTCAGGTACATTCCTAAAACCCTCGTCTCCAGCCCCGAAGAAAACGAGCCGGCAAGCCGAAATGGCGCGTAAACAAGCAGGCGCGTCCCCTACTACTACTACTACTGCTACTACTGCTACTACTACTACTACTACCACTACTGTTGCACCCGCTGAACTAAAGCTACCCGTAATTGTGTCAAGTCTCAGGGGGATTATTCAAGACAGGGAAATGTTTGGGGTACCCGCTATTGTGCCATGTCTTGCGGGACAAAATAACAAAATAGAGGTAAACTTAATTTCTAATTGTTCTTTATAATATGAAGTCCGGTCAAAGCTTAAGGGTTCCACATTCCCAAAACCTTACTATTTGTTTAGAAGCCCTGAACAGCCCAGAGGTCAACTTAAAAGTACCGCCTGGTCACAAGTATACACTCTATGTACCTGGGACAGAGTTCCTTCATTCGATACAATACATTCAAAGCATTTGGGATGGGAAAACCGTGTCCCTTAAAGGTACCTGATTCCTAAACCTTAGTATTTGCTTAGAAACCCTGAAAAGCCAAACGGTCAGCATAAGGATACCTAGTTCCTAAAACTTCATTATTTGCTTAATGGCTTGGATGTCAAAAATCTCACGGCCTCAAATCTAAAACCCCAGTGAAGCTCAATTACTTGCTTTGCCTAGCCTTGAGCATTTTCCAAAAGACCTAGTCCATCGGGAAATCCCACCTTCTATAGTGACAATTCAAAACGCACAAACTAAGTAATAACTAACCAGTAGTTATCACAGCATGTACCGAGACGGGGTAGGGCACTTTTTCCAACCATGTCAACTTCAGTGGCTGGATTCCACGTCAAAATCCTTGTTGCACCAAAGATGCAACCTATGGTGTCCAAATGTTGTTTACATCGTCTCGTATTACGGAGACGGATACGACATTGTACATTCGGGGAGTGGGAGACATGGAGGAAGAATGTACAAATTAGATGCATACACTGAATTAAAAGGGTGAGGAGGGCGGGTGAGAAAAGGAACGGATGTTCCAATGCAAGGGCACCAGCTGTAACCAAAATGGCGACGGTTCAAGCACAAACATGGAATCCGCATGCATTTGTGGTTACCAGCTTGGTGCTAGAATTGTCATTTCTGACGCAAGCGTAATACACGACAATTCAAAACGCACAAACTAAGTAATAACTAACCAGTAGTTATCACAGCGTGTACCGAGACGGGGTAGCGCACTTTTTCCAACCATGTCAACTTCAGTGGCTGGGTTCCCCGTCAAAATCCTTGTTGCACCAACGATGCAACCTATGGTGTCCAAATGTTGTTTACATCGTCTCGTATTACGGAGACGGATACGAAATTGTACATTCAAGTCGCTGGTGTATGTCGCCAATGACTTTGAGGCACCTTTCTGCGATGGCCTTCTGAGGCAACTGTATGTGGGACCATAACAGTCCATGTGGGAGATCCTCAAACCTGCTGATCGGGTCCGACAAGTTGGCTTTTGTAGGAACGCGCTCGATTCGGTGAGCGATGCCCCTTCTGTTGTGCCACGTCCAATGGGCACTGATCAAACAATTCAGGGGCTGATGTTTTCCTACTCCTGTAATGAGGGCGTGTCGGGCTGCCTCGTTGTCGCAGCATTGGATGTAGAAGGTGCCCAGGATGGGCTCACAGATCAGCGGTGCGATAATGGCGAGCCACGCTTCCAGAAGGTAGATGAAGGCGGTGTTGGAGCTGAACTGCTTCAGGATCTCTTGTGGTAATCTGCCTTCGAAATACCATGCTCGATCTGACGCTCCCGGTGGGAAGATGACTGCACCCCAACCGTTCTCGGCTTGGGCGAAGTCGTGAGGCTGCCATCCCTCTGGAATATCGTCCCCAGGCTTGAGTCTGAGGTCCCCTGCCATGTAGTAGGCGTCGGTGTAGATGATGGCGAAATGTCGATTTTGGATCTGTAGGGGTAATCTCATGGGCTTGCAGTGTTGTATGATGTTGAGCAAGGCGCGCAGAGCTGATCTGGTGGGTTTGTCCAAATGTGCGATGTTGCTGTGTGCTCTGGCATAGATGGCTTTGTAAACTCTCAAACCCAAAACAAAGTCAGGTTTCTTTTGCAACTCACTTTGAGCCTTGATGTCACAGTCTCAGCTAGCTGGAAAACAACAAAAATCGGGGACCAACAATCCACATAACATATGGCTTCTACATGCCATAAGCGGATGCTCTCAAATGTTGTTACCCCCTTTGATAGTTCACGACTTGAGTGAACGAGCATCTCAACATTGGAGAAACGCCTAGTGCAACAAGCTTCTGGTGGAGCTTAAAATGTCACATGACTGAGCGCTGACTGGCACAATCATCCAAAAGAGTCGTCCCCTCGCTCCAAAGTTTCACTTTGGAAAAGTTGAACGACTTTGTCCTTTTACCATCCTCAGTACGAAGCAAGTGTGCATACCAAAGGCGGGGGACTTCTTGCGGTCCTTTACTCCTCGGCGCCTCACTTCATAGCTTGCTGTCTGGCCATCTTGGGGGCCTTTTCTTGCTCTAGAGACAGCTAAGCAAAACTACACAAAACAAAGAATGTCATGGCTTCGCACAACACTTGCACATGTCCGCAATGCTGCACACTGAACTGCTGACATGCAAAATGTACTCCATGCTGCAAATTAGAATTTAAACTCCACATGCAGTCGTACAATCACACATGGCTCACTCCAAACATTTAGTTCACATAGCCAACAGCTTCATGAACTCACAACATTCAACCAAAAGCCTTCCTTGCTGGTCCTTTCCTGAATGGCCTAGCCAAGTTCAGGGGGACCGCGTTGACGGCAAGGTCTGCGGCCTCCTTGAACTGCTTCTGCTACGCTAAGCCTTCGCACTCTTCCAGGGTTACTACGGACCATGCCACATGTGAGTCTGTGATCACGACGTCCAGTAGGAAACACACAATCTTTCTCATGCGCACGACGTTGACCAATTGCTACTTGAGGAATCTGCTGGGGTGCAACCGGAACCTGTGGAACTTGCTGAGGTGCTGTCGGAACTTGTGGAGTCTGCTGAGCTGCCGTAGGAATCTGTGCTCGTTGAGCTCGTAATGGGGCAGCAATGTTCTCCTCCATCCACTCATAGAGGCGTTCTCGCGCAGCATCATCGACACCAGGACTGGCTACTGGATTAGGTTGAGGATCTTCTTGTTCTTCTCCCCTTTCAATCAAACCACTTACAACCTCAAAACCATTTTCACTTTCTTGATTTCTTCCCCGATTTCTTGGACTTCTTGGTGGACTTGTCGCTGGGCTTGATGTCATTGTTGCCGCCAGGTCGCTGTCGTCGGTCATCGTCGTTCCCAGGTCGTTGTCGTTGGTCTGCATAGAACTTGGCTCGCCACGTGGAAACTTCTTCAGCATATCCTTCACCGTGTGTAGCGGTCAACACACAAACCATCAACGACACCAAAATCAACCAACTGCTTGTAGCTTCTATTGGTTGTGGCAACATCATGACCATCTCGTTGATCACTGTTGTACTTCCGTATCCATTTTGCCAAGATTTTCTTCGACTCTGAAGATATTCTGCTTCTGGCGGAAACGTGTCGCTTTCGCTTGGGGTCTTCGGACTCTGAGGCTCTCACTGGAACTGCTGCCATCATCAGAATCAAGATCACGACATTGAGCAAAGGCTGAATACGGAGTCGGAGGTGCTTTTGAATTGGCGGACGAAGAAACTTCAGACCCGCGAGGCAAATTACCAGGGTCATCACCAAGAGCAGGAAGACCAGGATTGTCACCACGCTGACCGAAGCTTCGTCCATGCCCATCAAAGCCATGTGCTTGATGGAATCTAAACATGTCACGCCCTGACTTCCTACATGAACTGCTGTAAGGCTGTGACCTTCTGCTGTCTGTGTCGCTTCCATGAAAACACATGCGCTCAAAATCACTTGACGAATCGCCTGCAAGGTACTCTTGCTCTCAACCTTCACAACGCGCTTCAACTCATGACGTACCTATTCTTCTTCAAATTCAGTTTGACCGTTTGACCTACTGGCTCACCATTTTGGACCACACCTCACATGTAGCAAAGTAGCCTCGTTCTGGATCCACTCGTCGGCTTTGTCAACAGATCTGGAGGACAGAATTTGTGTCACGAACTCACCAGCCTTAAGCTTTTCCTGGATCCACAAGTAGGCTATCTCCACATGTCGAAGACGCGATAACCCTTGTCTCGAAATCACAGCTCTACACGATGAGGCGTCTACACGATGCTGTAAGTGAACTTCACATCCACAAAGCCGCTCTAGCACCCTCTTCAAGAAAATTCCTTGCTGCACAGCTGCTAGTGAACCATGTAGCTCGGATTCGCATGAACTCAGAGTTACGCTCTTCTGCCTTCTATTCGAAGCATGAATCAGGTTGCCATTCAAGAAAACTGTCATCGCCGACATGCTCTTCTTGTCTCGCTCGCCAGCCCAGCTGGCGTCAGATATGGCTTCGAGAAGGTGCCCTTCTCCAAAAGGGTTGTCCTTGCTTTCACGAACTTTGGAATCCAAACTCCTGCACTTCTGTTGCAAAGTTCTTCCTGGTCTGCATGGAGTCAACTTAATACCTTGATTGGGGCGCGCCTTCAGAAGCATGTGCAACAACCACTCAGCTGCTTGATCGCGCACAAGCTCTCCGGACGGTCTTGACCCAAGTACAGAAGAATGCCTACGCACGTCCGATACACTGCGTGACGTTCAGAATCTAAAGGACTGCTGTCAACCTTGTTGTGGTTCACGTTCATCGGACACGGAGTGGCTTTCGCGGTGGCCTTCTGTAGGCCAAGAAGTTCAACAAGCTTGTCTTCCATGTCCTGTGCCAACGAACTTCCTCTTGAGGAAATGACACTCACCCCCCTTCAACTGTGCAAGGACCTTCTAGCGAAAACTTCAAGCCACTTTCTGTCAACTTCTTCTTCAAGCAATCAACGCGAGAAGCTTCAGCGATCACTTCAAAATCATCCACATGCGTGCTAACACCAATACGCTTGGGTTCAATGAACAAAGCCGGAGCAGCCTCGTAACTCTCCAAGTTGTCAGACTTGAGAATCCCGGCCAACTTGTCGTAGAAGTCTCTGGCTCCAGCTCGTTGGCCTGGCAAGTTGAACTTGAGCTCAAAGATCAAGCTTTCATGACGAATGAACGTAGGCCTTCTCTGAGGAACAATCAAATAGGCATCTTTGATGTCGCCAGTGTAGAAGCAAAGTCGTGAGCTTGAACACACTAGTCCAGCGAAAACCTTTTGGAGGCAAGCCAAAGATCCAGGTGAATACAAATTTTCCATGAGAGGGTCAATGAACTTGTATTCTTTGGCCACAAGACGTGATCTCCTGACCCAACTCCAAGATTTGCCATCTTCACTCGGACGAAACAGCCAATCTCGCACATACTTGGACTGCAAGTTAGTCATGCCTTCAAGGTTCTCATTACCAGACATGGGCCTAAGAACTCCCATCTTGACCAAGCGGTTCAGCTCCACTCGGTCCATGGCTTCGTCCAACTTCCTTAGCTGATCTGGATGGAGAACAGGTGGACCGGTGGACCTTCCTCATATTTACGATTCGCCCAACTCTTCACGAACGGCAAGTCAACCTGGGGGTCTGGAGCCACGTACCCTTCATCACCTTCACCAACGGCAATCAATGTCAAATCCTAAAGCCAAAGGATCCTCGTCAGCTTCCATGTAGCCTTCATTGTCGCCATGGCCTGTTGGCATTTCCTCCTCTAGGAAAATCGCACTCACATGGCCACTTGCGGGGTGGCCCTTCTTCAGAATGATAACTACCACCCAGGCTCTCGCCAGGCAAGCTAACGCTCATGGTGTCCCTTCCTACTCCCCCTTCAACTGGTGGTTCTTCATTCGGGGTTGGACAAACTGCTTCTGGGCTTGGTGGATCTGAAGCAGCTTCATCAGCAGGTGAAGGAGGTGCTTCAACATTCTCAGGGAGAACGGGAAGTCTAGAACCAGTTAAAGCCAAAGCTGTCCTCTTACGAGAAGGAAGGACATCAAGAAGAGGATCCCATGGAACTCCTTTCATTTCTGTCGAGAACTTACCAGGTGCAAGTCGGGCGCTTCGCGCATGATGGATTCCTTCGGCATCGCTCACGATGTTCAGGTCACCTAGGGTTGTTCGGCCTAGCCATACGCAAGGCTTCCAACACTCACCACGAACCTTTGACTTCGGAAGGTGCTGCGCATACACATGGGCTCCGAAGGGAAGCAGCTTTGACTTGTAGCTACGTCCATGGACCAACTCGAACGATGTGCAACCATCCTTCAGAACTGAGAACCGAGATACGAGGAAAGCTGCATGCCGGTAGGCCCAGGCGAAGAGTGGGTCCTCACTCTCAATCTTGTGTCCCGTGTGTTGGAGGATTTGCACGATGCGTTGCATCCCCTGGCGGAATTGGCTCTTCTTCCGTGGCTAAACCCATCTTCAACCTAGCAGCCACTACAGCTCCAACAATCTGCTTCATTGCTGGCTCGGTGTCATACCTGAGGCCAATTCGTTGATAACCGAGGGAATTCATCAGGCGAACCACATCTTCAACACCGTACTTCAAGCTTCTATTGCCCTTTCCATCGATGGACGTGGCTTGCACAAACTTGGTCTGGGAGTCTACCAAGATCAAATGAGTAGCAAGAGGATTGTCTTGTGTGGCAGTAAACATATAGTCCATACTGACCACAGGAAACTCTCTATGAGGTTCTGTGTCATCATAATTGTCCTCTCTGGACCGGGAGGCGATGCAGGCTTCACACCAGGGAGCTTTCGGGACGTGCGTAGTCTCGTGGACCAAGACCAACTCCTCAGATGGTCGCTCAGGAAGTGCATCTACGAGAGGTTCTCGAGCATACTCAGCTTTCACAATCTCCGAAGCTTCCACTGCCACTTTCAACTTTGCAAGGGCCACTTCTCTCTTCAACCTGTTCCACACAGTCGCCTTTGACCCATTCTTGGAGATGCCCAGGAAACGACACGCCAAACGAAGTTCTCTCAATGCGCTCTCCTGAGTCAATCTCACGTCATTGACCATGATCACCTCTTGCTCGGGACCCTCAACTTCCACAGCATAGGGGCCTAGCATGGGACCTTCTGCTCTCTCTCCTCGTTTCTCAGCAACCATCTCTCTTTCTTCTTCTCCGGGGAACCCACGCACGATCATCAGGTCTTACGGTCTTACCTCTCCTAGCTGGGAAGGCTCAACGGGGTTCTTCGTGAGGATCGTTAGAAGCTTGCCAGCCGGGGCATCGAGATCTAAAGTACGGTTTGGTTGCCAATATTCTCCACACTCAAAAACTTCATACTCTCGACCTCTCTTCCAAATGAGCGTAGAGCGATGGGGCCACTCATCAGGATTGAAGCGTGCTGAAGGATCCACAGTCGTAGACGTGTTGTATGCTAAGTGCACTGGTAACATGGATGTACTCAAGCTCCATCCTGGGGATTCGGCATGCTCTGCCATCTCTTCATCAATAACAACAACCGTGCGAACAGCTTCTGACACCAAGAGGCTTTCGGCTCGGGTTTCACCTTCAGCGGAGGCATCACCTAGCTCCCTGTGCTACGATTTCTTCCATGCGCGAAATTCTCATACACGTAGCTAAGCTGTTCCTGCTCCAGTGAACTGGAAACCAAGCTTCGCCCTTTTGCGTGTACCACGAGTCATATTCATCACAAACAGGAACCCAGCCACGCTTCATGAGCTTGCCCAAGCAAAACAAATGTTGTCGAACATTTCCCAGAACAACAGAATCCTTAAAGGAAATCACACTGTCTTCATCCGGGGTGTCGATTTCGAAGTTCACGAACACTCTTGACTCTCCGCCTTCGATCTTATTCCCTTGAGCGTCAAGGAGAATAGTCTTGCTAGCAGAGGAGTCTTTGTGACCCACAGCTTGATAAGAAAGGGGAAGGACCGTACAATCAGCTCCACTGTCCAAAATGACCTCCACTCTCTCCGGTCCGCTGGGGACCTCTTCGATCACCGCCCGGCAGTACAGCCGAGGAGTGAGCTCTTCGTCACAACTGCAATCACTTTCAAATTCACTTGCTTCTTCCATACTCTCCATGTCGTACCACAAACTGCTGGCGATACGAAGCTCATCCAAACTGCATTCGCTACAGACATCTTCTGCACAGGCTCCCTCACTAACATGTCCATCATCATCGTCCCACATGTTCACATGCAAGCTCGAGTGATCATCACGCAAAGACTCATCACGCGCGAACACATCAAAGTCATGAACTGCATCACTCTCTACAGCATGCGCAGGGGACTCGTTGTGAGGAAAATCTTCATGCGAATAAGCTGCACAATCTACTTCACTCAGACGGCGAACCTCGTACTCACCATCTTCGTACCAGCAGTCATCCGCATCTTCAGTCAGGTCAAACTCGTAGATTCGGCGAACCTGGGATTTGGCAGAGGCAGCAGTAGTGCTAGGAGCTGAGGGCAAGGTTCGGGTAGTGGACGCAGCAACACTTGATTGATCACCATCTTGTACCTGTTGAACTCTACGAGGCTGACGGCATTCTGGGGCAACATGACCCATCTTACCACAGTTCCAGCACTCTCGTGGGCCACCCTTACCGCCACTTTGTCCTTTTCCTTTGCCACGCCCTTGACCATTCCATGATCCACCCTTGCCTTTGTCGTTCTTTCCTTTTCCTTTATCACCTTTCTTCCCTTTTCCTTTTCCTTTTCCTTTGGGAGTCCAGCCTCCCTTTCCTTTCTCACCCTTCTTTCCTTTCTCCTTTCCTTTTCCTTTGCCTTTGCCTTTCCACTCTACACGGTCCACATCCATAGGAGTGGGCTCATCTGCTCCTATGGCTTTCAACACACGCTCTGTACTCCAACTCGAAGAAGCTCAAAGGCAAGCATGGTCTCTCTCAACTTCTCATACGTAGTGGTTTCGGAGACTTGCAATTGGAGATATCGACGAATGTCTTCAGGGAGTCCAGCCAACAGTGTAGAAATCTTGAGATCATCGCTGTACTTCTGGCTACTAACCCGCTCATACTCAGCAATCAACCTTTCAAAGGTTAGGGTCCATTCGAGAAGAGATGTGCCATCTTTGTACGGAGGCTCGGAGGATATCTGATCAACGCCTGAGCTCAGGCTAGGGATCTAGGTCGCGATGCAGGTTGAAGTTCATCATGTAGGCGACGCCAGACTCTAAAGCCACATCCAGAAGCCTCAGACTTCAGGAGCTTAAGGCTTCGTCCTTTCAGGTGTGTCGCCAAAATAGCGTACAATCTCTCACTACGGCTCTTCATTGGAGGAGTGTAATCTGACACAGCCAACCATGTCTCGGCAGTCTCGCATTGCTCGAAGTCGTCACGATACGAGGAGTCCTGCACAACCATGAATGCCTTAAACTGGAAAGACCAGTCAGGCCATCCTGAGATCTCTTCCTCGAGATTATTTGCCGAGAAGATTTCGGGAGACTGAATGAATTTTGACTCTCGCCATGAAGAGGTAGAACTGGATCCCGTAGCTGTAGCAAGGGCCGAAACCGCACTAGCCAAATTCTGAAGAACAAGTTGAGCATCTAGGACCGAAGGGGCTACACCACCGGCTGTTGGGCTTCCACTTGGGCTTTGTCCAGGCTGAGACATCACGCTACGATCTTCGCAGCCGGCTCAAGGCTCCTTCAAGGCTCTCCTTCGCTTAGCGAACGTGTAGGGCACAATCAAGAACTGGCCGCCTCTAGCAAACTTTACGCACAGCACCGAGAACTCGCAACCGCGCTGGCAGCACAGCGTGGGCGAGGGCTACTCTGCAATAGCAGGCACGAGGTCTGGGTCCAGCCTCTTCAGGAGCTCCGGTATCCAAAAAAATAAACCTTCACAGCTCCGCTACCATAAAACCTCAAACCCAAAACAAAGTCAGGTTTCTGTTGCAACTCACTTTGAGCCTTGATGTCACAGTCTCAGCTAGCTGGAAACAACAAAAGTCGGGGACCAACAATCCACATAACATATGGCTTCTACATGCCATAAGAGGATGCTCTCAAATGTTGTTACTTTGAGTGGTGCGCGGCCGACCTTGCCAAAGAGTCGGCCGGTCAAGAAATTGCATTTGCCAGCCATGCGTCTGGCTTGGTCTGGCTTGAGACTGTTTTGTTGCAAGCAAGTCTGTATTTCTTGACACATCCGTTGTACTCTTTGCGGGCACGGTGTGAATGTGATGTGATGTGGTTCTGTGCTTATGATGACTCCCTGTATTTTGTGTGATGATGCTGGAGGTTGTCGTTTGCTCGTCTTCATGTTGTACCCGAGTGCCCCGCTGAAGTCCTCGAACGCCTGCAATTCCTGAAAGCCGGAGTCTGCGTTGTTCTGGATCTCCGTGCCGCCGTAGTCATCGACATAGCGCGTAGTGGGGCAGAGGAGGATAACCCGCGAGACTGAAACCATGGCGTCGCCAAATCTGTTGTTTCCCCACACGCTGGCTGATGATCCAAACAAGAGCACATTGTGACTCACAAGGTGGGCCCTTCTGGTGTGTGTAGTAGGACATATGCTTGTTGTGGTCAGTTTATTTGTAGGCCCCATCGTCGTCGTGTCCCCAAATCTGTAATGGTTGTGTGGGGGCATGTTGGTGTGTGAGGGTGGCCAATGCTGCGAAGTGGTCCGGGGTGTGGTGGTATGGTTGGTCGTGCGTTATGCGTGTTGAGTTATGTCCGCTACGGCGCCAATCCTCGCCTCTCCGGACTTTCTCTTTGCCGTCTGACCCCACCTGTTGTATGCTAAACGCGACTGCTATCGCCGGTGTGGGGTGTGGAAGTGGTGTTAGGTGGAGCTCAGGGTACTTGCTCGGGGAGATTGCGTGGTGTTGCCAGTGTGATGGTTGGGTGAAGGGACCATTCATCCTGCCCATCTTGACCTCCTGTACATTCTCGTCGAGCATGAGCATGTAGTGATCGTCGATCCTTGCTTGTTGTAGCTTCTTTTGTATGTACTTCTCGCTGTGCTCGGCGAACTCGGTCCAGGTTTTGGGGTTGAGGTACTTCTGGTCAGTCCGGACGTACCAATTGGTTCCGGGTTGCAACTGGCCCATAAGCCGGAACCCTGACGAGAGTTCTTCATGGATGATGTCGGCTTGTGGGTGTTGTATCTGTCGTAGCAGGTATGTGAAGACCGGCACCTGTGTCACATGTTGGCTGTTGTGTACGTGTATTGTATGTGTGGTGGCAATGTCTCCAACCATGAGCTGGTGTCGTCTTGCATGTCGATGACCAAGTCGCGAATCTCCTTCACTGCCAGTCTGCGGAACTCCGCCACTGGGTGAAAAAGATGGGCGTGTTGTACTGCCCATTCCAGTGTTGGGTCGAGTGTTTCGGGTGTGTAGGACGTGTCCAGCGAGAGTGTCCATTGTAAGTGGTCTTGCCAGGAAAACTGTGGCATGTACTGGTTGTGGTTCGCCTTTGGCAGAGGGTCAAAGGTCGTGTGCGTCGCCAGCCACAGTTGTGTCGCTCTCTGTATCGGTGATGTGATGAGGCACGCCTCCGGTGTCGGGATGGTGTCCAGGATGATCAAAAGGAACAACCACACGGCTGAGGGAATGTGCCATGTATTACCCAGTGCTTTGTTGCGATGATGTTCCGTTTTGTCTTGTGTCATGTTTGCGGTGTGGTGCCTGTTGAAGCCCATCATTTGTTCTCTCATTCGAGCGGGTGTCAATTGCGCTTGTCTGTGTTGGTCGGATACGAGGTATTTGGTCTGATATTGCCACGGTGCGAAGCGCTGGTTATCTGATCGCCACCTGCTGATTGTCCGGTTTCTCGTTGCAGTGTTGTGGAGCTGGTCTGCCATGCTGGTCTGGTGCCAGGGTGGTGAGGCAATGGAACAGGCCCGACTTCTGCACTATGAGGTTGCAATGACTCCTCCATGCTGTACTAATACGATGTTCTTACTAGGGACCTTCGCCTTGTTGGCCCATCAGGTCTCCATCGCCGAGGCGCTCCTCTTGATGGCGCTGCGGAGCCTGCCCTCGGCATAGTCCTCCACGAGGCGAAGGCGGAGGTACGTGAGGCCCAGGAACCTGCAGAAGTCTTTCTGCGTCATGATTCATGATCTGGGTCTGGCCGGCCTCGTAGGTGTAGGTGGTCATGTCGCAAAATGGTGGGTCATTGAGGTACTCGATGAGGCCATAGTTGCGCGCCGTGTTGAGCTGGTTGAACTCTTCGCGGAAGAACTTGTCGGGGTATCGCTCTGTGGGCAGGAGGTCGAGGCGGTATGGTGGATTTGCACCAGTCGCGAAATATGGCAATGGCTGATTCTTGTTGGCGACGTCCGAAGTCGGTGATCTCCTGCTGGATGTTGAGGATCGCCAACTTGAGGTTCTGCAGCAATCGGTCCTCTTCCTTCTTCTCCCACTCCGTGATGTATAGAAAGTAGCTGGTGTTGTTGGTGCCCGGAGTGGGTTGTCGCACAGGTATAGGTGTTGGGCTCCAGTTGGCGTGGCTGTTGCCAGGGCCTTCTGTACTGGGATGAGGTCCGCCTGCTGAATCCATGGCCTGTAAGGGTTGAGGCAATGTGGGCACATGTACCGTCCATGTTGTTCCGAGATGGGCGCGTGCGGTGAGATCTTCCTCAGCCAGCGCTTGTTGTCCACCATCGCCTGGCAGCCGATCTTGCGGCAGATGTAGTGCTGGTTTATGGTGGCCGTGATCTTCGATCCACTCGGTGATGTGGTTGTCGGCCCCCACTCTCTCAAAGAAAGCATGTCGGTCCCAGTCGGGGTCCAGGGCCGATCTGATTGTGTCCTCGTCCCACTGTCGGAAAGCGGCCATAATCCTGGCGCGGTCGGGGTGCGAGGAGCCTTGGATGTCCGCGGTGAACTGGTCCACGAGGGCGAGGATCCTGGCTCGGACCGGATTTTGGTTGATGCCGCGGCCCAGTAGCTGTTTCGATCACGACGCTGTTCCCCAACTTCGCGGTGCGGACCTTTTGGCAAATCTTGTAGCAGGTGTCGACATCCAACGTTGTAGACTGACTGGGGTTGTTGGTCCGTGGGATGACCGCATGCCGTGCCCAGCGGAGCTTACCATCGGACCAGAAGGCTTTGATGTAGAGCCGATGTTGGTGTGGCGACTCCTCATCCAGAGCAATGACCCAGCGCTTGGGGTAGTTGTCATAATCCGCGTCCAAGTTGGCCACTGAGGTCCGGTCCGTGTGCTTGTAGTCCGTGCGGGT